AGACTGAGGGTGCAGGTACCTTTGGGGCCTTTTCCCGATGTTGGGGAGGAGATTCTGTGCCCTCATATAGGGTTCTCTGTCTCCTCCCACCTGGGGGGGGGGTCTCACTTCGGGAGAGCCCCCAACCTAGTACTTGTGGGACCTGTTTTGGCAGGTGCCCAAAGGATTGGGGTCCGCCGGCCTTCGGGTAGGTGGACCAAAGTATTCCTTGCCCCTGTCAGGAGCCTTGCGCCTGGGGGGGTCGGGAAATTGTGGCCCCTTCTTTTTAGAAGGACCAAGCACCCTTGTGCACTTTTTTACGTGTGTTGTGATTTCACAATTCACTTTTTCTGTTCACAGGGGATTCGTTTTCGAGCACGCTCCATGGGCTTTAAAAAAAATTGCATTAGTCTAAATTAAGGGCACTTTCAATAGACTGGGTGGCAGTTAGTGCAGTTAAGAAAAACATATTTTTTTTAACATGCCAACAAAACATTGTATAAAATTCGTATACTCTGTTGACAGTGGGAGAAAATCTGTATTGAGGAGGCACAGAGGCTGCCATATGATCTTTCCTACTGGGTCATACTGATCCAGAGGTTCAATATTTGCCAAAACACTGACTTGAAACTGGAAGTATGCAGATCAAGGAGTTATGACTTGACTATGACTTTCTGATCTGCATGCTTGCTTCTGGGCCAGTTTCTCAAAGTACCAAAGTTAGAGACAGCCAAGGAACTAGTAATTTCAGACGACATTAACAATTTTGTTCTTTACATTTATTCAGCATATATATCCTTTAAGTATGGCTAAAGCTACTTTGGATTGAGGGATGGATAGAATGGTTAAATCCCTGTCAGTGTTTTTTTTTTTTCCCAGGATAGGAAATAAGGTAAATCTTTTTTGGGAAGATTTCTCTTTACTTCCCATCCTGTAAATACATTAAAAACGGAGATTGAAAAGCAAACCAAGACCATCTGATGAAGGGAATATATAAAAGCCCCAATACGCATTGGTTATGATTACTGCAATCTTTGAATAAGAACCATTCATCTATTCTTTCTTACATAAGGCTTCGCTTCTTTAGACTGAAGCATACTCCTCACCTGCTGCTGTACCATACTCTGTATGCAGAGCATGAAGTGAGAAAAAAACCCTTCAAAAGTAAGGGAAATGCCCTTCTAGTCAATTATAAACAGGACAGAATGTCTCTATCCCTGTTCTGGTAACAACTCAAAATGTTGTTTTTTTTTTACTTTCAGCCCTGGTAACAGAATTCAATCGAACAAATAGAGTTAATCTCCTGACATAGGCATGGACAGCAAGAGAAACCTGACAGAGGTTCAAACCCTCAGTGTATCCAAAGCGAAAAAGAAAATTTTGGCTTTAATATACTTTATGAGGTACATGTCCAGCCAAAATTTCTTTCTTAGCTTTGCACAGAATGGAGGAGAGTTTTTACTTCAGGGCTCCATTAGAGAGATTTACCCTTACTTCATATTCTGCTAACATTTTAACAGACACAAAGTGAGAGTACTTCTTCAACAGCAACACAGACATAAATGAAAATGTTTTTCTGTAGTATAGTAGGGGAAGGCTGCAACCTCTGTCACATTTTTAATTCTGTCTGGGTCTCTGTTGAAGATTTTCCCTTTATTCCTGTTTAGGAAAACCATTGTCAAGTGAACAAGAAATAAAAATCTGTAAAAGTAAAAATCTGACAGGAGTTTTGCTCCTTCCTTAAGGTGCCCACACACTGACCGAATTTGAGCCAGTTTTTAATGTACCAATTGAAATTCGCACAGTGTGGGGCTGTCGGTTCCCTTTCAGCCGGCATTCCTCAATCAGCTGATCGAAGGAGCCGGCTGGAAAATCTTTGTGCGATCAGAGCCGGCAGCCAATGAGCTGCTTGCTCTGATCGGGTATTCTGACAGGTACCGGCAGCACCTGTCAGAATACAATGCAAACAGCAGCAATTCCTCGATCGACACGCTGTTTGTGTTGATGGAGGAATCGTGTCAATTTCTTGCAATTCAGGCCGGAGATTTAACAAAAGAAATTGACAGGTGAATAGCCAGCTCTACTCTATCCAAAACTAGAAAAAGTGTTTAGCTCATGTAAAAAAAATTGACTTGCACAGCATAGATGATACCCATTTCCTCATTAATGCTAATTGTTTCAGGGTTTTTTTAAGCATGGTATTGAGCTATAGAGCAGTTCAGCTAATCTTGGTTTAGAATGTTGAAATTATGCTGTGACTCTTTAAATGCCAGACTCATTCATGAGCCAGGAATCAGACCGTGTAATTGTCAGCCTTGATTTTTAGGTGCAACACATCAGAAGAATGATCTGTTTCCCCAACCTACCTAAAAGCAACAGTCACATGGTAGGCTTCACTCAGACAATGAACAGATTGTTTCGTTAGTAAATTGAACAATTTGGTGCCACTGCCAGCTATAGTTTTATCTGCGTTTCATCTCTCCATTTGAGCAGATTTATAGCACCTGAAAAAATGGCATTATTCAAGCATGTATTGTTTCTGTTCCAAAACGTGGGACTTAATTGCAGATGGAATAAACTATATACCAGTACTATTGAAATGTCACTGAGCCTGCCTTACAATAAGATTCAGTCCTCGAATTTCTGCAGAGATTAAGTAAACCTGTACAACGTAATGACATTTGCAGAGTATGGTTTAAGAGAAAAAAAAAACTATTTGTTACAATATTTGACATTGTTTCGTAATGTTGTATATGATGCTTTCATGGAAAACACATGTAGGGGAGTCTTCACTCTAATGTAATCCACCAGACATATGTGTTTTATATTGCTAATACTTTCTCCACATCAAAGGTAAAGTCAGCTGGATGTCCAGTTTGGATGGAATCCCAGTTATCTCACTGCAGCTCAATGTGATTGAAGGACTTAGCCAGTGTTCTAAGAATAATTCTTTATGACCCTAAAGTCTTTTATGGACCCGTTTATTTTATGTTAGTGGTAAAAATCAGGTCTAACAATCTGTGTGCACATGTAGTTTTTTTCACGGTTGTGATAAAAGTTCTGCAAACTTTTCAAGATTTCTACATGAATCGCTTCTTAAATTGCTATCCAATCTTTATCAATGTCATGGTAATAATCACGGTCTTAGCTAACAACACAGCATTTAACACTATCGTAATTTTTATTTTAAAAATGGTTTAAACCAAAAGGAACATAGATAGATGTGCATGGAGCTTTATATTGTCTATCTAGTTGAATGTCCTTTATTGGCAGAAACGTTTACCAAAAGTTTTATGTAGCTGTTGCTCACACCTGTTCAGAGATATTTTGGCTCATTGTTAGATATAAAACGGATTCAGATATTTCATTTTGCAATGTCTTTCTTGAATGATCTGCTTTGGATTACCCCAAGGCATTTACAGCTGGACTGAGGAGTTAGCTTTCTAAAATACAGAATTCCTGTTGCAGTGGTTGATTAACTCCTGTGTTGTGAATCAGTGTCATGCTGCATGGCCCAATTTCCTTTTATTTTTAGATCATAAACATCCCAACCTTCTGATATGACTATGCCTAATACAAGTTGGAACTAAACTAATATTAGATTCAAAAGGTATTTAAGCTCTTTCAAATGCTGATAAAATCAGTTACAATGCTGATCCATTGTAAGGTTTAGCTTCCTGGAGAATCAGCTGGTCCTCTGACCATTGGCCCTAATTTCCTGTTATAGAGGGGCTCTTTTCCCTTGCAGGGTCCTATAGCGCTACCTGTGTGTGTGCAAGCAGGCTGTGTGTGTCTCCACAAATAGGCACAGCAAGGCAAGCCACCTGCTATCATCTCCTGCCCCCTTCCTTCTCTAAGCTGTTAGATGGACAGCTGCAGAAGACTAAGAATCTAAGCTTGAATGTGGTTTCCTTTCCTCATTTTTTGTGGCTAAATGGAGAGGCAGGGAAGGAAAAGAAAGGTCATAAGTAGGTACTACTTAGGACGTGTTTAAGGCAGCATTTCACTTTTCAGTTTGTGTGGAAAAAAGAAAACCTGTCACAGAAGGAACTTGGAGGCTCTCAATGCTATACCCTATCTTTAAAAAATGTAGTTGTTTAGACATAATTCTT